TTTGCAGTGGCCTTGGGCATCCTCTATCTACAGTGCGGGTCTGTCCTTCCAGGTGAGCCTGGTCTGGGCTGACCTTTGGAATGGTCTTTTCAGCGGAAGGGGGCGACAAGGCTATGCCTGACCGCAGCCCAGTGGAGGATTTGTTGGAGGAGGTGGAGCAGAGCGTTAAGGATGAGAAACTCCGTAGGTGTCAGTCGAGAATTGAAGGGGTACATAACGTGTCCATCAGGGAAGCTCTGCACTGTTGTGGTGAAGTCTTGCGGGTATGCTGGCAGTGGAGATGTGCTGAGGGTCCAGGTAGGCCGCAATTGTGGGCACCACAACGGAAAGTATATGCTATTGTAGGAGCTCCTTCATTTGTTGGCGGAGACCCCTGACACCAATAAGCAGGGAGGAGGGGATAATGCTGATGGTCAAGCGGGGGGGACTGAGGACAACTCGCCAGATGAAGTTGATGATGACGTTGGAGGTAGGCCAATGGATGAAGTGGCGATGTTACGGTATGGGTCAGATGACGCTAAGGCTGCGGCTGAACGTGCGGCCCGGTACTACCAAGTAGCCGGCGTGCTCGGTATTGGCCTCATTGCATTGGGGGAGGAGATCGGCACTGAGATGACTGTACGAGCGATGGACAATATACTACAGTAGGATTGCTCGTTGCATTTATTAGTGTTATTGCAGTGCTATAGGTATTGCCCTCCTACCATCAAGCGAGGAGTGCCACTCACGTTGGCTATGCTGTTCGCGAGTAATCCCAAGTGAGTCAATGACTAGCCGAAGGCTCTCCTCTATCTCAGAATAGGTACACTATTATAGACACCCTCTCGAGACTGTCCCATGACGCTGACAATGAGGTAGCAGAATGTGCTATACTCAGCATGGGTGAGCATCTTCTAAGCTAGCAACCTCGACACAGTAGTTCCACAGGTATTGTTGGCGCTGGTACGAACAACTCTCGTTTGGCTGGTCTCCTTCGTCAACTTGCTGCCTATTATGCCAACAGTCCCAACGCCCTCTACGCTACGAGAATTGCTCAGGGGATGCTGTAGGTGTATTGGTGTCAGCGACAACGTTATTTGATTGAGCTCGTAGATATTGCGGAAAGGGTTTGGTGTCCCTGAGCCCACTTCACAGTGATCGCTATCTGATCAACCCCACCTCCCTTGCCTCCATGCTGGTAGTCCTCTTTGCTGGTGCTCTCAACATCGATAAGACCCTCTTCGGCTCACAGTATCACTTCATGCTCTACTACCTCGTACCCTGCATGTGAGGCATATCCCTTCAATACTGATGAGCTGATTGCCTTCTATTAGATACCCGCGTATGGTGGTCACCCTATTGGATAAAGAAGACGGCAGCGAGCCCGAGCCTATCAGTGTCCCGGTGGGTGTCTATAGGAACCTAGATGGCCTTGCTAATCCCGTCATCATTTTAGGTTCGAGTCGGCCAAGCTGTCGATACCACTGGTATTGCTGGTAAACAGGCGAAGGCCATCACTGGTTTCCAAACCCACACTACTCCGGTAAGAGCGGGTATAGTGATGATGATGGCGAACAGTCGACTGGTGTTAGGTGTTGTTATCATGCACTGACCGTGCCGAGCTAGCGACCGAGGAGTATATACCAGTCACCAAGGTTATCGAGGGATTTGTTATCATCAAGAAGAATAAAGACTTCAAAGCAGAGGAATTGGAGGCACCACGAAAGTGATTCGAGCAAGATTAGTGCGTGCTGTTAAAAATACTGGTTTCATATACCCGAGGGGTCGTGTTGATTACTTAGTGATAACGAATCCCTGCCCACACCCACACTGTGGTGATGTTGTGATGGTGAAACGTACCGGATGAGAGGGATATTATAGGGAGGGAGGCACAGTAAATGCCACTCGTGCACTCCGTGGGTATTGTCTGGTTGTGCAGTTTGGTAAGGACAAGATAGTTATCCTCTAGCGTAAGAAGCATGGTAAACATTCTAGGTCCAAGGATAGAGTGCAGACGGTATGATTAATGCGGACCGGAAACCATGAATATTGATTCCGCTGCGTTGATGATCTTCTATAATATATATGAGTTTATGAGCGCAGTAATGGAGCAGATCGTTATGGAAGTTGTGTTGAGGAAAGTGAAGATTTTTCTATAATAGTAGCCCTCTTCCACGGAACATAATCATAACACACTATTCTACTCAACGTGGCTGGTTTGGATGATAATTATCATGCTTTGAAATGTTGATCAATTAAATAGACCATTCATTGATCCTGCTACTGATAACGCCTGCTTGTGAGGGGTACAAAACCATGCATAGAACTCCTCGAAACTGAACACATCAGTGTAGCGCTCTGAGGGCTGTAACTAGCACACCTGATCGCCCCCGATCCGGTGGGGTCCGCGCTTGCGAAGCACTCCTTCGCGGTGACAGCCGCCAAATCCTCAGCAGTACTCAGCGTTATTCCAACCTGCTTCATTCTCTTCACCACACTTGGGGTCAGCACCTACAGCGTGTGAGCATGCAGGCGTGATGCGGGTTCATATGCTTCTCACGATCCTGTATACATTGCGAAGGAAGGCCGTGATCTCGTCCAGGCTCATTCGACCGTCCCCATTGGTATCGAATACTTCGAATACACTGTGGAGCTTCTCCTTCTCAGTTCCACTGCATATTAGACATACTCCACAAACGAGCTCCATCAGGTCGACTCGTCCATCCTTGTCGCAGTCCAACACACCGAACAAACCTGCCTTAACCACTGGCGGCCAAGGGTGGAGCAACCATGGATAGAGGGAGCCCGGAGGCTTAGGAAGATCTAACAATTCGGTATTACGAGCAATTTGTTCATCACTATCCTCGTCGGGACTCATCCCGCAGGATTCTATAAGGCTTCTGTATGCTGTGGTGAATGTTAACAAAGTGAATCTAAATAGGCAAGAAGAGCCCATGGTCACCCACACTCTCATCACTCAGCTGCATTTTCTGTACTTCCTATCATGTCGCCGCCCCTACACTGTTCAGTAAAATGCCTGATCCAAGCACTATGCCTCCCTTGCTTTGATTGACCTACCTCACTGCCTTCCCGACAGACACCTCGTGCAGCTGTACACTCTTAGACATAACTCTCCACTCATCCATCTGAGCATCATCCGTGGACATCCGACCAGCTTCCTTCCTAGCCGCCTCTACCTAAGTCGATATGACATGTGAACACCTGATCAAGTCCATGGCCTCTCACTCCAGTTTGGCCATCCAATACAGACATCTTCATCCCTGGTTGTTTCTTCGGTGGGGACAGCTCGATAAGCGGTGGTGACCGCTTCGATGTTGCTTGTCGTAGAGGTTGCGAAGCTTTTGCCACCTACCCCCAGCATCAAGACGGCTATTGAGCGGCTCATCCACCTTGTCCATCGTAGGTGTCTTCACTGGAGCTCTCCGGCTTTCGGAGGGTCTCCGGCCTTGGCTCGATCGTTGAGGCCCAGTTGTTGAAGCCTTCCCGACTTTGACAGCCCTAACAGGTTTTTCCGCCTCAATTTTCTGACGTCTCGGTTGGCCTGATTCGAGGCATTCCATAACACAGCAACGTCGTCCATGCCTCAGCCTCACCACTCGGCTCGTGCTCAACCTTCCTCGACTGTACAGTAGCCTTCTCGACTTGTGTCTCGACCTTCAGTGGGTTAACTGCTGCTGTTTGTTCAGTGCCACTGTACATGCCTCTCACAGGACTGTACGTGGCTCCATTCGTGGGTGTGCTAACGGCCCTTTGATACCTCCCCATATCCGACATCTCAGCCATGCCCATCGATGGCGCAATAGGAGTAGCACAGCCCGACAGGTATACGTCCGTAATACCACTCCTGTTGGGGTTCACCCCTGACGTAATTCCACCAACCCTCGCGTGAGAGGCCAGTGAAGGTGTGAATGGTGGAGGGGGCATCGAAGTGAAGTTAGCAGTAGTTCTCACTGTATGGTTCCCCGATATGCTCGTAGGGACAGAGTACCTACCATAACACAATTTGAAGCGAGTGCTACTTACCACTCACAGACGTTCCCCTCCAGAAGAGGATATAGTCCGGACGGGCTGCTGTTGCTGGTAATGATTAAATTGGAAACCGTAACCGCCAGGGGGCATAAACATCGCTAGAAAAGCTCTGAAAATTGCCACCTAGTGAGACGACTGCAACACATGGCTTGCATGTCCTTCCTGAGCAATGTATGCCTTTTTCGGGTTCTTCGTGTACTTATTCCAGGTAGATGGGGTACCCGTTATTGACAAATCCGAGCCGGTTTGCAGAGTACAGATAAACTCAGAGTAACAGCATCAATGGTAATACATGATGACATGTGTCCATCTGAAATCTTGAAAGCTCGACAAACTGTTGGACAAGTCCTGTAGACCAGAAGTGTCCTAACCGCACACCACTCCACTTACGCCTGGGCGCACCCCACATGTGTTACCTGCTGGAGACTTTATATCTGAGCAGTACTCAGTGAGCACAACATGACAGATGTAAAAGCGGCAAATTCTACCCAAGCGCCTCTTCACGCTTCCCAAGGTGTGTTGCCGTACAGGCAAGGTTCACGAGGGTAGCCACATTACGCTGATCGGGCTCCAGGATCATATCATCATAAGCCTGAAGTTGAATTCATCATTATAAGTCGTATAGAACGATGATCACACCTCCTGATGCATTCCTCGCTGAGTGTTAGCCACCGCCTTGCCGTTGGTAAGCAGTACCGACTCCGTCCCGCCTATACTGCGAGGCCAATACCGTCACTCTGGACAATCCTCCACGGACCGAACACATGCCACAATCAAGCACGGCAGACCGTGTGGGGGCTTCCGATGGGGTTTGTGTCTAAGCATTCCCTTAGTGGCATATGGTGACGGTACAGGACCAAAGATCAAGCAGTTCAGTAGCGGAATCAATACTCAACTTGACGTCATCATACAACACTAATCCTAGTAGCTCGGAAGAAACCTATGATATTGACAAGCATGCACATGGCCATCACAGCTCCGCAATCAGTTGATCGAGGAAGTCCTGAGAATTCTCTATACCGGCCGCCGTCCGAGCTGGGCACTCACGTTGAAGAGGGGGAGGAAGCGAATGAATGTGAGCTTCAAGGGCCCTCCAGATCTCTGGTACCGCATCATGATTTCGGTACTTATTCCGGTTACCCCTGGACAGGAGAGAGCTACTCAACACAATGTGAGTGATTACTCTCATGGGAAATTGCAGCATCATCTGGTAGAGCGAAGAAGAGTTCGAGCTCGAGAGTGAGGGAACTGAGCAGCGGCGTCGCTCGATCACTGCGAGTGGCTTTACTTGAAAAGACTAGTCAGTTGAATTAGATCAACTAGACTATCGTCATCGCGATCATATTCCTCGAAAAGGCTAACGGCCACCATCACGCGGTGCTTTTCCTGCCAATTACGAGGATCACTAGGCAAATGCCAACCCTGAACGAGTTCAAGTTGAGTGTAGATCGACTGAACGGAGGGCTTACTGAGAACATACTGCATGTAGACCAGGGCGTATTCGCCATGAGGTTGCCCATATGTGATTGTGTTACTGACCAGTTTTACCCAATACTTGAACACAGATCCAATGAAGAGCAGATAGGTTCAAAAAACCTCGAGGTTTCTCAGCGAACATCCCAAGCCTCGTCGGCAATGGGTGTACATCATGATGCAATAATAAAGGGAGGAGCATCCACTACTGCCTCATGTGGATGACCTGGCGATCGGGCATGATATCAAGGTCACATGTACCTGGTGAACCAGACTGAAAAGATGGAGCACAGAGCAGTGAGAGCTACCTCGATGTCTGTGCTCCATCCAGTCTTCAAGGAGGAACTCGTGGCAAACCGTCTGGGCACGGTAGTACTGATATCTGGGCACGATAATATATAGCTGGCCGTTGGGACCTCATTGGAGGCTTACTTGCATCTAGGGTCGTCCTCACCGAGCTCACGAGTGCAGCGGCAGAACTGTGTGAAACGGAGCTGAGGGGGATGGGGAATACGAAGAGGTGACGGTCCGTCACTGACGGACACGAGAGGCAGCAACTAACCTCACAATTGTTCCATTGGTTAGACTGGAAAGCAAATCTTGGGTCATCGGTGTGGGGGTGTTCGGCCGTTAGGCGATCGAGGGTGCCAACGAACATGGCATCAGCACTCTCTTCGGACATAGTGGGAAAGATGTGTTGAACACGAGGAGCACTACGTACGCCGAGATTGGTGAATTAGAGAAGTAATTTGCAAGTAAGTTGCGTGAACAAGTTTTGAAAACCGTGGTATGGAACCCACGGAGGTTCAAATCGAAGAGGGGATTCTTTTCAGTCACCGGACTGCACGTAGCGCACGCCCGAAGAGGGCCCATCCTTCTCGTGAGTTCAAACAATTCTACGTGAACTTTGTATTGGAAACTCCCTGACACCTCCGACGAGAGAGCGCTTGAGCTACTCGACCTAAGGTCTTGTCTATCGGAACTATGACCTCACGAGACATTGCACGCGCGTATCGATTGCACCGGCGTGCTCTTTCCCCGCGCAAAGCTAGACGTACTCTTACGTTAGTGAACTCTTCTCCTTGTGTTAAGTGAGCTACACTACAATGCCCGTCCGCCACATTGATCAGAACGTTGCGGCCGAGCTCGTGAAAACGGCTCAGGCTATCTGTACGCCAGGTAAGGGGATCCTGGCTGCTGATGAGTCCACTGGAACGATTAAGAAAAGATTCGACGCTGCTGGCATTGACAACACTGAGGCCAACAGAGCTGCCTATAGATCACTTCTATTCACTACTCCGGATGTGGGCAGGTATATATCTGGCTCCATTCTCTACGAGGAAACGCTCTTCCAGAAGGCCCCGGACGGTACTCCTATGGTTGAGCTCCTCCGTAAGGCTGGCATCATCCCTGGCATCAAGGTCGATAAGGGTCTAGTGGCTCTGCATCTATCGGACCAGGAGACTGCTACTCAGGGTCTCGACGGTCTCGCTGAGAGGTGCGCTAAGTACTATCAAGCTGGAGCCAGGTTTGCCAAATGGCGTGCTGTGCTGAAGATCAGTCAAGCTAAGCATCAGCCGTCTCAGCTGTCTATCGACGAGACTGCTCACACCTTGGCCCGTTATGCTTCTATCTGCCAGGAGCATAGGATCGTTCCTATCGTTGAGCCGGAGATCCTGGCTGATGGTACTCATGATATTGAGACATGTGCCTACGTCACTGAAAGAGTCCTCACGGCTGTGTTCAAGGCCCTCAATGATCATCACATCCTCCTCGAGGGGTGTCTGCTGAAGCCCAATATGGTCACTGCTGGCATGCAGTGCTCTAGTCGTCCAAGCCCTGCAGATATCGCTCGCTATACGGTTCGCACACTGCAGAGGACTGTGCCTCCAGCCTTGGTTGGCGTCACTTTCCTGTCTGGTGGCCAGAGTGAAGAGGAAGCTTCGGTCAACCTGTCTGCCATGAATGCCATGCCCAAGGACCGAAGGCCTTGGGCTTTAACTTTCTCGTACGGTCGCGCTTTGCAAGCTACTGCTATCAAGACTTGGGCTGGCAAGGCTGACAACGTCAAGGCTGCCCAGGAGGCGTTTGCTTACCGTGCCAAAGCCAACAGTGAGGCACAGCTGGGCAAATACAAGGGCACGGAAGGAGGCCCAGGAAGTGAGAGTCTCTATGTGGCCAACTATGTTTACTAGGCTTACTCGCCTATAACTTATTAAATGTCATGTGTCACCATCATCGATTATTATTATGTGAGGATATAAGAAGACTTAAGTGTTAACTAGACTTCTGTTAAATGAGCTCTCGGTGTCGAGTCGTGTTGACTAGTGTCACAGTAAGAGCAAGAACGTGGAAGATGAAAAGCAGTTGCAATCTTCATAGTGAGGCGCAACGTATCTGTCGATGCCTGCACGGCTACGTAGGGCGTCAAGGCGGGTCAGGATACGGGATCGGTCGATGCAGCATTTGGGGGTGAGATGAGATATGCACGAGGAACTCTGGGAACTGTTGTTTCCGCTAGGGAGAGAGCTGTGAGAACATGTATGCCACTTGGATAGGCGAGGCATGGAGGCGGCTCATCAAAAGCGATTTCTTCTGGGCAATGACTGTAACTGGGAGGCGGATTGGAATGCTATCGCGGAGCCGCTATCGTCATTCATAACCAGGCCTAGGTTGTGACTCGATCTGAGTTCAGATCCCCGCTGTGGCCGTCTATGCGTCTTTGCTAGGGGATGAGTTTCTAGCTATACTAGGAGGATATTCGAACCGTATGGTAGAGGTAGGGGGATAGCTGAAGCTCTCGATGGGCCTAAGGTTGAGCCAGGATACGAGCAACCACGAGGTCTGCCTCAATAGTCTCGAATCATATGCTATGTGTGATTCGGCCTGGGATGACTTCGTTGTCACTACGACATTGCTGGAGCAGAATAGAGGCGAATGGAGACTGAGTGAGCACGTGTATTGGAGGCAACCGAATCAATTTGTGAAATAGTCATGCTTGCTCTACTTCCCTGCAAACATTGGGGTTTCACCCGTTTAACGTTAAGTGGCGTAATAATCCATGTTAGTTACAGGACGTGTACGTTTCCGCGACCGATAACACAATGGTTCTCCGCGAAGTGATTTGTGGAATATGCTTTTCACTAGTGTTTTCATATCACGAATAAAATTCCATTATAGTTATCAGCCTAGTGTTGCTGGGCCAGCAATGCTGGCCACATCGACATACAGTAAAATGGCTATGCCTTAGATGAGGTCATACCTTGGCGAGGCCTGCAGTCCCCTCGTCGTGGCTCGTGGATCCTATGGCTAGCGTTGGACTCCTGCATCACAGCGGTCATGGGGATTTGTATGAGCCTCGCGCTGCTGCAGTCTTCACGTACTACTGTCATCGTCTTTCACAACGATAGTTCACTGGCTGATTCAGGCGTTGTTTGGCGCCTCCAAAGGCCTCTAGTGAGCATCCACGTCACATTGCTTGCGCTCCGACAGACCCTATGGATGTTGATTACGGCATTTGTTGGTCGCAATGACGATCTGGTCAGACTAGGTTTCAAGGTGCGACAGCCTATTGATTTCCCAGAGTGTTTGACTGCCTGCAGTTCTTGTCGGCAACCCTATTCTGTCACACTGCGATGCTGGTTTGTCTGAGGCTTCTGGTCCTTTGGGCCGACTGGATTATCTCACGCCCAAATCTGCTGGTAACTTGCATGTGCATCTTTTTGATGAGCATTTTGGTTTCAGACTGTATGCGTCCGACTCGAGGCATGCTACCTACAAGTGACATCTGTTTTCGATTCCCTTCATGGCGACACATTCCGATTGTGTTGTCCCCTTCTGAGTCTCGAAAGAGTAACTGCTGTTGACACTGTGGGTCTCGACTGTCATCACTTGCCAGATGAGACCGGGCGGACCGAGTGGAACTTGTTGTATATGTCTAGGCAGTCTGACTGATGGCCTCGATCAGCCGGCGGCACGCGTGACCCTCAGCTTAGATAGGCCTGGTCAGACTTTCGGGATCACGAATGCTGTGAGGCATCGTTACGCAAAACGGGGAATTGTGAGCTGCCTTTCATATCAATAACGCGGGTGTATGAAGTTGCTTCCCTTCAGGTTAGCGTTTTCAGAGCGTATTGTGGCCATTGGTTTCACTCTGAGTGCATCGAGTCGTGGGCCTACCATCACAATGCTCGCAATAGGCGTCGAACGATGCCCAGAATTCTGGATGTCAGCGCGAATGGTGACACGTTCGATGAGAATAGAGAGGTCAGCGTGCTCCTACTCCCGAGAGTCTCGGGCCGAGACCCTCTGATATGTTTTGTAGAGCGCCACTTCGAGGAATCATTACTGTCCAGTGTGCGCAACGACGCCGATATTGAAGACTCGTGTCTCGAGAATTTGGTTTTGGCCAAAATTGTCATTCATATGAAAGTGCTGACTTCTATATTATGCATATTCATGTCTCATTGACGTTGGGTACGTCAGGCAAGTTGCCTGACAGTGCTGGCTCTAGATGCTTTCAGTCTAACATTGAAGCGGTTGTGTTCGAGTTTGAAGTGACTAATAAGGGATGTGATACTTGCAATACTGCGAGCTACTCGCATTGCCAAATATCGTCGACCCGCTTCGAAGTAGATTTGATGGGTCTCGACCCGACAAAGTTAGCTGAAACAGGTGGACACTTCCTACAACTACGAAGTTTGGGTGAACGAAGCAGGAGGACCGACCGAACTACCAAGCCGTAAACCAGGCACAGGGGACGGTCTCGATGAAAATCGCAGACTGACGACGTCCTGTCTCGAAACAGGGGTAGGAACTGTGCGAAGATCTAGGATCGCGAGTTGCGGCGGCAAACGCTTACTCATGCAGCAATTCCACCGAGAGTAGGTTGGCAATCAGGTTCACAACCGCACCGCGGCGGCCTGCAGCTGCAGCAGACTGAGGCAAGACTACTAGCGGGGGAGCGGCACAAGTTGTGATCCACAACAGTTGTGTATCGAATGCTGACCGGTCCTTGAGCGCCACCGTGTCGACTGTTGAGGCTCTTTCGCAGTGCGCAATGAGAAATTGTCAGAGCGGCACTCGCTATTACCTTTTCAATTAACGTTTTACCCATGGCTTTAATGAAATACCAAGAAAATTAATATTATACCCGGCTTATTTGAGTGTTGAGGAGTTTAATTTAATCAAGGCGCGCCCAATGACCACGTGCACGTCGTAAAGGTCAATGACAACTCGAGGAGTCGTGTCGCTGCTTCGGCAGTAATATTAGTGTTGCACTTGCCTTGCTTGTCGCCTATTTTAAATGACTCGAAGCCCTGAGAGAGAAGAGTCGTTCATGAGCATGACCAGAAAACTCAACTTGTTCAACTACCTCTATGCTTTACCTATGTAATTCTCCCGTATGATTTTCCCCCCTCCCTTGAGCACAAAAGCGTCTCAGTACATTCCTTGCTATTTCAGGGGTGGTCTATTGTTAAATCTGCACGCGCACATTATCATTAGGCGCGCCTTGATTAAATTAAACTCCTAAACTTTCAAATAAACCGGGCATAATATTAGTTTTCTTGATATCTTATTAAAGCCATGGGTGAAGCGTTAACTAAAAGGGTAAAACATTAACCAAATGGGTAAAAAATTAATTTGACCTGGAAATGCTGTAGACTTGATCATAGTCAGATTTTAACAAGACCTTTACCGAATTCCTATACTCATGGACCGAGATCGGAAATCAATTCTGCTTTACTCAGTAGTCGACTTCAAATTCTATCCTGCCTTTCGGAGAGTGTTCAGGATGATTGCCTCGACCACTGAAGAAGTTTAGACGACGATTGTATTGTCTGCACGCTGTGAGCAGTTCTGATTATCGCTCGCCCATTAATCATCTGCTCAGCGCAGTTCTGATTATCGCTCGCCCATTAATCATTTTGCTCAGTAACGGTAAGATACACTCCAGTAGTTGCTACGATAAACACAAAAAACTAAGATTCGGTAATTATTTGCTCTATGTCTACCGGATTGAGTCTAGTGGATTCGGGGAATCGTCGACCTCAACGATCTTGCGTCGGTCTTGGTGTGGAGCGCTTTGCTGACTCTTCACATTCTACCGGGATACATCAAGCTCTCAGCACCGGTGATCACAACACCGCTGCTCCCTACGCCGACCACCCCAACAACCCCGCTAATGGTTCTCCACGATTTGTCGATGACGGTACTGCCTCGAGTCAGGATGACGACGTCTCTGCGTTTCAGTCCAGTCATCGTGATGCGACCTCCTCTCCATCCAGACGAGGTGATGCGATGAGTATGCCTTCTCTGTGCGAGGACGGCAACCATCATAGGAGCTCTCCCTCTGACGAGTCCCGGTTCATATCTCCACCTCCGCCGGATACTTGGGTGCCTCCTCCTGATGCTATGCGTGAGACCATCCATGCCAACGGCAGTGATTTGCATCTTCGTCAGCCACTGTCTCAGAGCATCCCGCATCGCTCATATGTGGATGTCGGTGAGGTCGGTTCTGCCAGTGCCAATCATTCTGTTCAGACCCCAGCCGAGCACTTTGCGAAGCTGGCGTCGTTCTATCCGCCGTTCGCCATG